CCAAGAAGGTCGTTCCTAAAAGGGAGACAGCCATGAAGTGGAAGCATCTGGAGAGAGTAGCCAGTAAAATGCCGGAGTTCTTCCCTGACGCACCAGTGGCTCTGCTTTTGGGGACCAACTGTTCACGCGCCATCAAGCCACTGGACGTGGTTTCTGGTAAGGACGACGAGCCCTGGGCGATCCGAACCCACCTGGGGTGGGGCATCGTTGGCTGTCTCGGTGGGAGCAACGACCCGGACGCGACGTGTCATCTGGTGGACACTAGCGATGGTCACCCCAAACGTTGTCATTTCGCCTTCAGATCACAGGTGCGCGAGGTGAGCCCACTGGAGGTGCTGAAGGTGCTCGAATCCGACTTCCAGGAGACTGGCCGAGAGGATAAGACAGCTTTATCGATCCAGGATCAACAGTTTGTGAAGAAGATGAGTGAGGGACTCGAGCACCGCGAGGATGGCCATTTTCAGATGCCGCTGCCACTGAAGAATGACAAAGTGTCCATGCCAAACAACAAGACAGTCGCCATGCAAAGACTCAAAGGACTGAAGGCGAAGCTGGTGAGAAACGAGGCCTACAGACACGACTACACCGGCTTCATGGCGGCGACGTTAGAGAAGGGCTACGCAGAGAAAGTCCCCAGTGAAGAACTGGAGCTGGATGATGGCAGGGTTTGGTACATTCCGCATCACGGGGTGTACCACCCACAAAAGAACAAGATTAGAATCGTATTTGACTGCAGTGCAGAGTTTCGGGGTCACGTGCTAAACAGCCACCTCTTACAGGGACCGGACCTCACAAACAGCCTCACCGGAATCCTGTGCCGTTTCCGTAAGGAGCCTGTGGCGGTTTCCTGCGACTTGGAGGCGATGTTCAACCAAGTGGGAGTCGACGTCAGGGATCGCAACTTGCTCAGGTTCCTGTGGTGGGAGGATGGCGATTTGAAAAGAGACCCAACTGAGTACCGGATGAAGACTCACCTATTCGGTGCCACCTCGTCACCCGCGTGTGCAATGTTTGCACTCAGAGCTGCTGCTGACTGTCGGCGAGGTGACACTGAAAGAGAGGCCGCCGACTTTATGAAAGGTGATTTCTATATTGACGACGGTCTCATCTCTGTACCAGACGCCGAGACAGCGGTCAAACTGATTGACACGACCAGAAAGCTCTGCGCACGTGGAGGCTTCACTGTTCACAAGATCCTCTCGAACAGCATTGATGTCGTGAAGTCGGTGCCGATGGAGAGTCGCTGCGCTGGACTTCGGAGTCTAGATGTCGGTTCCGGTGATCTTCCCGTTGAGCGGACTCTGGGAATCGACTGGGACACGGACACCGACATGTTATCCATCCACGTCACGCCAAGAGTCAGAGAAGTGACCAGAAGAGGAATACTATCAGTAGTAAGTTCGTTTTTTGATCCACTGGGCCTGGTGTCTCCTTTCATTTTGAGAGGGAAATTGCTACTGAGGGAGCTGTGTCGTGAGGGCTGCGGATGGGACGATCCCGTGCCCAGCGATGTGGCTGACGCATGGAAGGAGTGGATGGAGAGTATGTTGGCTCTGAAGATCGTGAGTGTTCCACGATGCTATGTGGAAGGTGGGCTGCAGGACAAGATGACTGTAGAGCTGCATCATTTCTCCGACGCCAGCGCTGTGGGCTACGGGCAGTGCAGTTACGTGAGGACGGTTGACCAAAATGGACTGGTCAACTGTTCACTGATCATCAGCAAGGCTCGTGTGGCACCAACCAAGCCGGTTACGGTGCCAAGGCTCGAGTTGACCGCTGCCGTACTCTCTGTGAGGATGAGCAAGTTCCTCCAGGACGAACTGAAGCTGCAGCACCTACAAGAGTTCTACTGGACAGACAGTAAGGTGGTGTTAGGCTATATTTCGAACGAAGCGAGACGTTTTCACGTTTATGTCGCGAATCGAGTTCAGGAAATTCGCAACCATACTGAGCCAAGTCAGTGGAGGCACGTGACAAGTGAGGAGAATCCAGCCGATCTTGCCTCCCGAGGCATCAGAGCCGAGGAACTGGTGGAGAGTGCCTTGTGGTGGCACGGACCTGCCTTCCTGTCCCGTGCGGTCCTGCCGGAGGGCGAGGGACCACGGGAGGTTGGAGACGAAGATCCTGAGGTGAAGTCACGCTCTGCTTTCAGCTTCGCCACAGCAGTGCGGGAGGAGTTCGCTGGAATTCCGAAGAGGCTCGAGTACTTCTCTAGCTGGGTGCGAGCCAAGCGAGCAGTAGCGACGTGCGTCCTGTACGTGAGGAAACTTCACCACCTCGTGATGATGAAGAGGAGTGCCGTGCAGTCACGAGATGTTCCCAAAACGCAAGTCGGAGTAGAAGAACTGGAAGAAGCAGAGAGGATCATTCTGACAGCATTGCAGCGACAGGAGCTGCCAGGTGAAGTCGACCGCGCTGGACGATCGGGACAGGCAAGGACGGTGGGAGCCGGCCGGCGGACCGCCACGGTTCCCAAGGAGTTGTCTCGTCTCGATCCAGTTGTGCGAGACGGGTTGATCTGTGTTGGTGGGAGGCTTCGCAGGAGCGGTTTTCCAGAGAGTGAGGTGCACCTTGTTATCATCCCCAACCGAAGCCACGTGACGTATCTGATCGTCAAGGAGTGCCATGAGAAAGTCGGACATGCTGGGCGAGGACTCACTCTCGCTCGACTGAGGTCATCTGGCTACTGGGTCGTCGGAGGGAGACGATCGGTGGCACGCCTGATTCTGAAGTGTGTCAACTGCAAGAAGCTCCGTGGCCACGTTCTGAATCAGAAGATGGCCGACCTGCCGCATGACAGACTGGAACCTGCGGCGCCTTTCACCTATTCAGGCGTGGACTTGTTTGGTCCATTCCTGGTACAGGAGCGACGGAGTGAAGTGAAAAGGTGGGGCGTTCTCTTCACGTGCATGTCGTCTCGGGCAGTGCATATCGAGACGGCAAACTCACTGTCGACGGACTCTTTTCTTAACGCCTACAGACGGTTTGTGAGCCGAAGAGGCCCGGTGAGGGTGCTACGAAGTGACAGAGGCACAAACTTCGTGGGCGGGAAGAGAGCCTTAGAGCAGGCTTTGGACGAGATGGACGACGACAGGATACGCAGAGAGCTGGTGAAGGAGAACTGCGACTGGGTCATCTTTCGGATGAATGTCCCCACAGCCAGCCACGCAGGAGGCGTCTGGGAGCGCATGATTCGCTCCGCTCGGGCTGTCTTGGGCGGTCTCGTTCAGGAATGTCACGGGGCTCGGCCGGATGACGAGCTCCTGAGAACGCTGCTCTGCGAAGTGGAAGCTATCGTTAATAGCAGGCCCCTCACATCCTTCAACATGACTCCCGATGAACCCCACCCAATCTCACCCATGACTCTACTAACACAGAAATGTAATGTAGTGCTTTCGCCGCCTGGTGCCTTTCAGAGGACTGACGTCTACTGCCGTCGTCGCTGGCGACGCGTCCAGTACCTGGCAAACCGGTTCTGGCAACGATGGCGCTCCGAGTTCCTCCCGAGTCTCCAGGAAAGGAGGAAATGGGCGACAGCGCACGAGAACATCGAACTGGACAGCGTCGTGCTCGTTGTCGACGACAACTCTCCCCGCTGCAAGTGGATGCTGGGGCGCGTCACGCGGCTTCATCCGTCCGACGACGGATTCGTCCGGCGGGTCGCCGTACGCACGAAAGACGGAACATATGATCGACCGATACAGAAGCTGGTGCGGCTCCTCCCGTAGGCGCCGACTTCGGTGGCGCTCGGCGGAGCTGGTGGCTCCGCGCGCTGCTGGTGGCTCCGGCGGCGCTCTGCGGGGCCGGGCCGCGCGCTGGTGGTGGCTTCGGCGGTGCTTGAGCAGAGTTGGCGGCTGCAGCCATCGACGGCGCTCAGTGGGGGCTGAACTGTGCGCAGCTGTCGGGCTGAACTGTGTAGCTGCTGCGTAGCCTGGACTGCTGCGTAGCCTAGACTACTGCTGCGACCCTGAGCGTTGCGCGTGGGGCTGTCTGTGGCTCTGCCAGTGACGACAGTGGCTCATTTGATGACAGTGGCTCAGACGTTGAAGGTTTAACTGAGACATACAGTCATGCAGTGCCTCAGAGCCTGCGACATAAACAGTTAACAGCCACCGACAGTGTGGTGGTTGTTAGTGCGTTGTGAACTGAGGAGAGTGGCACGTCAGCCGACGAGTGAGCTGACTAGTATGTGTTGGCGCTACGTATCGTGAGTGGCTGCCGAGTGACGCTTAGTGATGGACGACGGGCAACTCTCGTGACATAAGATGATTTCAGTTTACCACCATCTTTACCGTCGTCGGTCGTGTTGCGCAAATGTGGACTGTCTTGTTATAGAATCGTGACCGATTGGTGGGAGTGTAACCGCCGCCCAGAGGTCATTGGGCAGCGATGTTTTCTTTTCCCCAATTTGCCGCCTCCAATTAATAGAACCTTGAACAGGGCGTGGCACGCGGTGAAGCGTGGCCATTGACACGTACGATTGTGATACTGGGACGTCAGATCCCACAAAAGTAAGATTATTGTCCATTGATAATTGATTAATGTATGCAATGCTTTGAAATGATTGGTTTTGTGTTGTTCGTGTGTCCATGTGTATTATTTTTTGTTGATACTATTGTTTGTTTCAGGTTTTACGTACAATATAGCGGCACCTAGTAGAATGGCGGTTTATTTGTAGAAATTGATTTGAATGGCCGTTACACTGGCGTTGGCGGCGTTGCGAAGTTGCAACATTTTTTTGACAGTGCAGACTGCAGAGTGGGTAAGCTGACAGGGTGGCCTAAGGCCCGAAGGGGACATCGCCCAACTTTTTCGCTGATACGCTCCATGGCAGCTCTAGTAAGGGACAAGGGGCAAACGAAAAATTCCAGTATCATTACATCAGTTTTTGATGGACATAAGTGTTAAAAGAGCGTCATTTGAAGAGCATGTCGGACTGGGTATGTGGTGTGCCGGCGAGGGTGGGAATTGGGGCCGGCCGGCCGGCGGGCGGGCGCTACCTGCAGCTGCTGGTTGAGCTCGATGACGTGCCGCAGCTGGCCGACCAGCTCCTCCTCCGAGTCGCTGTCGTCGCTGGCGTCCGCCGACGAGTCGTCGCTGCTGTCCACCGAGTACGTCCTGCAACACGCGCCGCCCGTCAGCTCGGCGCACAGCCGGCGCCGGCACACGTACCCAGCCACCGGCGGCCAGCAGCTCAGGCCAGCAGCGCGCCCGCACGGCTGCAGCTCACCGGTACTTGTAGAGCGTCTCCATCTCGCGGATGGTGTCGCGCAGCCGGCCGATCTCTGTGCGCTCGGCCGCCAGCCGGCTGCGCAGTTCGCGGCCGCTCGACTCCAGCTCGTCCTCCTCCAGACGCAGCAGCACCAGCTGGCGCACCAGCTCGGGCACCAGCTCGGGCACCAGCTCGGCCGGCTCTGCGGCACACAGGCGCACCGTCACCCTGACATCGGCTAAACCAGTCGTCCGAGACGCATTCGAGCGAAAATGACCGACCAAATAAACATTTAATAAATAGCAGACGTTTCGGCTACAGGGTGCTTCGTTGGGGGAGTAGGTGGGTATTGGGTAAGTCACCTGTCTCATGAGAATGTTCGTTAGACTCCACCGCAAAAACGCTGTAGCAACCAGAACTCGTAATGGCTGGGGTCTACATAGCAAGGAACTGAGCATTTTTTCTTCGACACAGTTTGCGGGATCCTCCGTTTTAGGAAATCAGCCCCCCCCCAGGTTTTACGAAAATAGCTACGCGCCGCCAAATTTGGCATAGCCTCTCTCGGGCATCCTTCTGGCACCTTCCCTGAAAATTTTGGTTCACAGTCATTTCATGTCAGCCCGTATTGTCAGGTCACAATGTGACAAAAACAACAGTACAATGTCAGGGTAAAATTGGACTAGCTTAGCGGCAACGGAACCACACAATTTTTCGCTAATAGCGTAAGCACTGTAGCACGAAACGCTACCGGGGCATATACTTGACACGTGTCCTGCGAGTTTTGAATCTCAGTGACCTAAGGTCAGACATGAATGAGATGATACTGGATCAGTGTCTCGTGGAAATTAACATTAGCCGTATTTACATAGGAGTTAAATGGAGGTTCCCCTAATCCTCCCCTACTTCTCCCCTTTCTCCAGATCGAATTTTAGGGTAAGTATCCCGCGAGTTGCTGGGGGGGGGGCGTTAAACGCCCCCACTTTTTTCGCCGGGCCATAGCATAAAAACGGCGCGCCGCAGGCGCGCCAAATTTTGGGTACCTGTAGGGAATTGATTGAAGATTATTGTGACAAAGTTTCAAAAAAATCGGTCGGAAAATTTTTGAGATATCGAGGTTTTAGTGACGTCATGATTTCTGAGTTTTCGACCAAAAACGGCATATGTTCAAAAAATCATATAAAATCACAGAATAGACATACAGACATGCCGTAAACGCCATTAGACTGCCAATGCCATGAACAATCAAATGGCTATCTTCGATTATTGATTATCGTTCCGCATTTTCCAAAATCTTGAACTGAATCTTGGCAATTTCTCGTGACTACTTCACGACCATGATACATGAATTTCTTAAATTGAACTTTTTGGGCCAAACACGTACACATATGATAAAATGAATGTCACCATCGTGTTCTACGCCCCAAATTACCCATAAAACATGTGTCACAGGCTGCGAATGTCAGTTTTGATTTTCGGGGATATGTGCCTTCCCGGTTGACCTGACCTTGACCCTGACCTATGCTTGACTGACCCCTACATGGAGCTGACACTCTTGTAGGCCTTATATGATGGATTGTGCACCGTTTTGACAGAGTATATGACGAGAGGCGCCCATTGCGAAGTCCTGAAGTCAATGCCACTGAAAGCCCGATTTCAGGTGTTTGACCTGACCTTGACCCGACCTGTGACCTCAAAATTCAACTTTAAAGTACTCATCTGAAGCGTCTCGTCGCGTTCTTTCGTTTGCCGCCTCGTGCGTTTCGCTGCGCCTATTGGTTCTCGAGTTATCGGCTGGGGGCGTTTAACGCCCCCCCCCCCAGCAAACGGTGGGTGGCGAAATACCCCAGCAACTGCCGGGGTATCATAGCCCCCGAGTATAACACTGCTATGAGTGTTACTGTGATCAGAGGCTTACAAGGAATGTTGTTTACTATAAAATGATAAATTGTGTAGGCACGTTTACGGCCCGAAAATTCACATTCCATAATTTGAAGGAATTTTCCGCTGCCTTTCAATTCCCTCTTTAACCCGGCAGTTGCTGGGGTATTTCGCCACCCGCCGTTTGCTGGGGGGGGGGGGGGGGGCGTTAAACGCCCCCAGCCGATAACTCGAGAACTAATAGGCGCAGCGAAACGCACGAGGCGGCAAACGAAAGAACGCGACGAAACGCTTCAGATGAGTACTTTAAAGTTGATTTTTGAGGTCACAGGTCGGGTCAAGGTCAGGTCAAACACCTGAAATCGGGCTTTCAGTAGCATGGACTTCAGAACCTCGCAATGGGCGCCTCTCGTCATAAACTCTGTCAAAACGGTGCACAATTTTTCATATAAGGCCTAAAAGAGTGTCAGATCCATGAAGGGGTCAGTCAAGCATAGGTCAGGGTCAAGGTCAGGTCAACCAGGTAGGCACATATCCCCGAAAATCAAAACTGATATTCGCAGCCTGTGACACTTGTTTTCAGTGACGTACCCAAGGGGGGGGGGGCCACGGGGGCCAAGGCCCCCCCCCTGAGCGCCGAAGTCGCTCAGGGGGCCCCTCAGGCCCCAGGATATTTTTTAAACACTGGATAAAACGTCTTTTACTCGGAAGAAAAATTGATATTAAAGTTTCATGTATGTGCCCTGGGTACCCGAGGGGCCCCTGCAGTCATCCAAGGGCCCACAGTTTCCTGGGCCCCTGGTCGCCTAGGGGGCCTCTGGTAGCCGGGGGCCTGGTCTCATGGGGCCCCTGATAGCCTGTGGCCCCTAGTCGCCTAGGGGGCCCTGGTCGCATGGGGGGCCTCTGGTCGCATGAGGCCCCTGATCGACTGGGGGCCCCTAGTTGCCTAGGGGGCCCTGATAGCCGGGGGCCTGGTCGTATGGGCCCCTGATAGTCTGTGACCTCTAGTCGCCTAGGGGGCCCTAGTCGCATGGGGGGCCTCTGGTCGCATGATATTGAGGCCCCTGATCGCCTGGGGGTACCTAGTCGCCCATGGGGCCCCTGGTAGCCGGGGGGCCTGGTCGCATGGGGCCCCTGGTTGCCTGGGGCCCCCGGTCGCCCCTAGTCGCCTGGGGGAGCCTGGTCGCCTTGGGCCCCTGGTAGCCTGGGATCCCCTGGTCGCCTGGGGGCCCCTGATCGCCTGAGGGCCGCTGGTCACCTAGAGGGCCCCTGGTCGCCTGGGGGCCCCTGGTAGCCGGGGGTCTGGTCGCATGGGGCCCCTGGTCGCATGGGGGCCCCTGATCGCTTTGGGGACTTGATCGCATTGGCCCTTGGTCGCCTGGAGGGCCCTGGTCGCCTGGGGCAGTGGGGCCCCTAGTCATCTGGAGGACCTGGTCGCCTGGGAACCCCTGGTCGACTGGGGGTACCTAGTCGCCCAGGGGGCCCCTGGTAGCCGGGGGGCCTGGTCGCATGGGCCCCTGGTTGCCTGGGGCCCCCGGTCGCCCCTAGTCGCCTGGGGGACCCTGGTCGCCTTGGGCCCCTGGTAGCCTGGGATCCCCTGGTCGCCTGGGGGCCCCTGATCGCCTGAGGGCCGCTGGTCACCTAGGGGGCCCCTGGTCGCCTGGGGGCCCCTGGTAGTCGGGGGTCTGGTCGCATGGGGCCCCCTGGTCGCCTGGGGGCCCCTGATCGCTTTGGGGACCTGATCGCATTGGCCCTTGGTCGCCTGGAGGGCCCTGGTCGCCTGGGGCAGTGGGGCCCCTAGTCATCTGGAGAACCTGGTCGTCTGGGAACCCCTGGTCGACTGGGGGCCCCGGGTCGTCTGAAAGTACGCTTATCACCTGATTGATCCCAAATCATCTGAGTGGCTACTGGCTACTGGATATAAGTAGTGACTGGAGTAGGCACTCATCTGAAGGAGCCAATATCTTTCACGGTGCCGGAGATATCACAGAAAAACAAAAAGGCTAAACTGAATACCCCCCAACCTTGGCCCCAAAGGCGTCATTGGCTAACACAGGGATGTGGGTCGATTTGCAATCGCATTTCCTCCTAAGTCCTATTTCTCCAATTAATACAGAGTGTCCCAGAATTACCCAAGCATTTATTTTCTGGCTAAAAGTACAATTGCGCTCGATTCCTAGTGAAACATATAATAGCCGCGTTTACATAGGGCTAGTTGCCAGATAGTGGAATTCCGATAACGAGACATTTATTCCCCACTATTATATTATATACCTACATATCCGGAATTGGAGGATGTTCAGTAATTGAGGCGCTCGCTCATAAAATGCCGTGCGTTTCATGCACACTCCTCAAGCAAAAATATTTTTACTTTCCAATTTTCCACATTTTCTCAAGGCTTAGACCGTTACAGAGACCGTTTTAATTGACTTTGATGAAGTTGAACACAATAAATCACAACCAAATGCTACATTAGGTTGTAAAGAATTGAATTGCGTTTTCCCACACACGTGGCGTTTTCTCACCTACGTCTGCAGGAGAGACCGGACCCACTATGCCCCCCCCCCCCCCCCACCATCGAAAGGTTCCTCATGACTCCCGGGGGCCCCCAGGGAACCTGGGGGGCCCTAAACACTGTGGGGGGCCCCTTCGAAAGCAGGTGGCCCCCTCCTGGGCGAAATCCTGGGTACGTGCCTGCTTGTTTTACCTATGGGTAATTTGGGGCGTAGAACACGATGATGACATTCATTTTATCATATGTGTACGTGTTTGGATCAAAAAGTCCAATTCAAGAAATGCATGTATCATGGTCGTAAAGTAGTCACGCGAAATTGCCAAGATTCAGTTCAAGATTTTGGAAAATGCGGAGCGATAATCAAAAATCGAAGATAGACACTTGATTGCTCATGATATTGGCAGTCTAATGGCGTTTACCGCATGTCTGTAGGTATCTCTATTCTGTGATTTTATATGATTTTTTAAACATATGCCGTTTTTGGTCGAAAACTCAGAAATCATGACGTCACTAAACCCTCGATACCTATCTCAAAAATTTTCCGACCGATTTTTTGAAACTTTGTCACAATAAACTTCAATCAATTCCCTACAGGTACCCAAAATTGCGGCGCGCCGCTTTTATGCTATAGCTGGGCGAAAAAAAGTGGGGGCGTTTAACCCTCACCCGCACATGGGGGGGGGGGGGGGTGGTTGCCACCCCCCCAGGCAGTCTTTCTGCTCTGCACTCAACATTTTTAGAGCTAGAAGGCTGATTTTTCGTATAGCTGCTCGTCTATCCTTTCTTGATGTCCACTGAAAATTTCAAGT